AATCCTGTTCACATTTAGGTTGTAAATTCATGTGTTCATCTGGCAGGCTGTAGTATCAATAGGGTGAGTCAAGTTGCTTGGGTGTGAAGCAGCAGGGAAGGCAGAGATAACAAATGGAGAGAGAGCATCTAGGCCTGGGGCGGGGGGGGGGGGGGGGGTTTTGGGCGCGTGGGAACCTGGGGGGGGGGTTCTTAGGCAGCTGTGACCAGCTTGGAAGCACTGTCAGATGCAGGCCCTAGAAGTCAGAACCTCACAGTTATCTAGAGAAATCTAAACAACAAAGTGAGGCTTTGCTGGTTTAAAGAAATCACCGTGCAAGTTCGAAAAACATGTCTATGATAGGTAGGCCATAGTAGACCCCAAGCTATATGAAAAATTTAGTCACAATCAGAACTCCCACACCAGGAAGTAGAATGCTTCACCCCCTCCCTACTCTCCTGCTTCCACCCTTCCCCCCACTGTTCTCCTTGGCTTTCTTTTCTTCCCAAGCCTCCGTATTTGACATGTTTGTTTCTCTCTTCCCAGTCTCAAATCTTTACCCATGAACCCCCTTCATTTCCATTCCTAATTCCTGACAAATAGCACTAAACCTTTGGTCGTGTCTTCTTTCTCTTCCAGAGGCCATCCACCCTCTCTGACATTCAGTGGCTCCTTTTTAAATGCTTGAAGCCAAGAGACCCTGCCTAGCACGGCATCTGGTGCCAAATATACGTCCTCATGAACAAACCCAAACTCCTCAGCGAGTCACCAGAGCTCAGCAGCTCCCAACCCAGCTGGATTTGTGCTCCCCAAAGGCCTCCATGTCTTTGTTTTGCCGTGCATGCTAACTGTGATTTCCTCTTCCCTGGGTAGACAAAATCTTCCGAACTTAGCATGAAGGGTTGCGGTGTAGTCCAATGGTAGAACTTGCCTACCGTGTGTGAGGCCCCAACACTGCAAAAAAAAAAAAAAAACCCCAACCAAACAAAAAAAGCTTTACAGGAGTCTCAGTTCTTCCTTTAGATTTCCATGAATGCCCTGGCTGCTATTTCCCAGAATCTCTGCTGTTATGAGGAAGATTTGACCCCAAGAATTTCTGGCATGGAGCAGTTGTTACCTCTTCAGTGACATTTCCTTTCCCATTTGTCATGATTATTTCTAATTATCAACTTAGGACAACCTAGACTCACCTGGGAAGAGAGCCTCGGTGAGGGCTTGTCGACATCAGGTTGGCCTATGAATAGCATGTCTGTGGAGGATTGTCATCATTAAGTCAATTGATGTGGGAAGACCCAGCCTACTGTGAGTGGCACCATTCCCTAGGCATGGGGTCCTGAACTGTATAAGAATGAAATTGAGCTGAGCACAAGCAAGCCAGCAACCAAGCCTCCGTGCACTCCTTTCTCTCTGTTCTTGATGTGGATGTTTGAAGTTCCTGCCTTGACTTTCCTGATATGATGAATGATATCCTGGAATTGTGAGCCGAAATAAACCCCGAGTAGCTTTTTTCAGTTGTTTGTCTGTTTGATCACAGCAGCAGATATGATACTGGAACCACCACCCTTTTACAGACTGGAGGCCCTTAGGTGCAGCTGACACAATTGTACCTTTGTAGCACCAGCTGCCCCGTATACAGCAGGCAGTCATCAAAAGCTTGATTATCAACTTGAGCTATCATTTTTTTCCCTTCAAGCCTCTGAAGAGCTTGGATTCCTCTTCAGGGTGAGGGTGGCCTTTGTGTGCTGCTATTCGTTTTCCTTTTTTAAAAAATAAACTTTTGTTGAATTTTTGTGTATTTTATATATAAAATCATCTTATACCCCTCCCCCCTTTCCCTTTGGCACCCTCCCATAGTGCCACCACAGGAGTTCATACATTCTGCCATTTGTAATAAGGCCCGTTATATAAAGTTAGTGTCCCAAGATGTCCCTCAGTGTAAGTTCATCCACTGGGATTTAGCTAGTCTATTTAGAGTCTCTTCAAGAAGATCAGCTCTTCCTCACCCAGCTGTTGGTTTTGAGTACATGAGTTCCTGTTCAAGAGAAGATCTTTCCAAAAGCAACTTCATATGCCAAGAACACACCCTACAAGCTTGCACACCTGTCAGAACAACACTGGCAGCCACTGCTCTGTGTGTGTGTGTGTGTGTGTGTGTGAGAGAGAGAGAGAGAGAGAGAGAGAGAGAAAGAGAGAGAGAGAGAGACCATGACAGCCAGAGCCAACCTCCTAGAGGAGCCCAGCAGGCAAGAATTCTCCCTCTGAGGATTTCCAAACCTGCTCTGGGACCTCCTCTTGCCCCTTAGTTTCCTTTCTTCTGTACCTTGTTTCCCTCCTTTCCATCATCAACTTGGAGAACTATGACATTGCCACTCAGTTCCTGATGGGTCTGCACAAAGCAGGACTGCCATCCTGCAACTACTCTATAGAAAAATCCATTCCCTGGTAAGTTGAAGTTGTTACTAGAATTAAAGGGTTTTGTGACGCAATGTTTCAAAACATTAACCAGCAGTTTATAAGGTTTCTCTGCTGCAGGACTTCTCAGAGCCTTTAACGTCTCATGGCTTAACAGAGGGACAGGTCACACATGCTTGTCAGTTTCTGGTACACAAGGCTTGCTGTGTCTGAGGGGAGCCTGAGGGAGCAGGTGTTAAGACTGCACCCTGGGAGATGGAACTGTGCAGGACACAGTCAGCACCCCAAACCAGGCTGCCCACAGTGTTGCTTCCTCTTGGAGCCAGGACTTCTTCCCCTTCCCCTCCAGCTTGGCTGGCTTTGCTTTAATTGTATTCCCATATGTGTCCAGTCTGGCTTGCTACAGCTCTGGCCTCTGGAATAGTCTAACGCCTAGCAGGGGGTTGTGTCCTGAAATTACCTCCGTCACTGGCAACTATCTCCAGGAATACAGGAATGAGAAGTTTGAAGGCCAGTGGCCAGTGGTAGGGCTGGCCACACACGTGCTCTTTTGTGTGCCCTGTACTCTTGGCATGGCCAGGGAACCTCAGAGATCTAAAAACTCGGGCGCTCTGGGTTCGTGCTAAAAGGCGTTCAGAGCAAAACAAAACGCGATTTCACAGTGGCTCCCAGAAGTCTGACATGGGTGGACCCAAAAATGCCACCCCATGATTTTAACTACTATTTTCTTTGATTCTAAGATGTCATCAATTGTAAGACACACCATTGTTTTAGGAACAGCTTGTAGGGGGGTGACAAAAAGAAAGAAAAAAAGAAATCACATGGAGTGTACCAACTAATTGTAGGACACATCCTGATTTCAGAATAATTAAAATGTGAACAATTGTGTGCCTTGGGATCGAGGAAATAGACTATTCTACAGGTCAGGGCTGGCTTCCTTTTCATTACTATGGAGGAAGCTGAGAAGTAGACTTCAGGCAATAAGGCAGGAGACTGGGGTGCTGGGCAGGTGTCTGATCTCACAAAATAGTTATTGACTTACCACATGGTCTAGCACTGTGCAGGGTTAGGAGGGCTGGGGTCACCATCCCCCACCTTCACCCTCTAGTATGTGGCTGCTGAATTGCTTCAAGTAGTGCCCCTACACCTTCCCAGAGAAACCTTATAGTAAGACTGTCTGAGTATGTGTGGGAACCCATTCTGTAAACTGAAACAGAGCCTTACCTTTTTTCCCCACATAAAACCACCACTAATTCATAAAGATAAAAATTAGTCTGTTTGGAACGATAGAAGTGCAGGAAAGCTAAGAAAGGTCTTGGAATGTTTCAAGGACAACTGGAAGATACTTCGGCGTGGACTGATGCTTTTTGGCTTGAACACTCATGGATGCCCTGAACCTTGCAGTTTTCTTCTGTGTATATCTCCAATATCTGTCCACAAGCTTCTGGTTCTAGTGACCAGAACCAGAGAAAGAGCAGGTGGCACAGCTTCTACTTTCATCCTGAAATCTATCAGGCATGGGGTTCGGCCATGTCCTTGATTTGTATAACCATAGTCTGGTAAAAGAGACAGTAAGTATGGTTGTCCTTTGGTATCTATAAGGGATGAACTCCAGGACTCCTGAAAATACCCAAATCTGCAGATGCTCAAGGCCCTTGCATGGAATGGTGTAATATTTTCATATAACATGTGCATATCTTTCTATTCTTCAGATCATAGCTTCTTAAGCTGTGGGTTACAGTCCTCTATGGGGTTGCATAACTGAATGTGGGGTGCCCTAGTTTTCTTTCTGTTGCTGTGTTAAAATATGAGACTCCCAGATAGTAACCCAGCATAAAATTGGAAAAATGAACAGCAGACCCCAATCTTATCTAAAGGAATATTGACAACTGATTGCTGCTAGATGAGGAACAGCTGACCCTCCTAAAACAAAGATAGGTTGACTAGATTCACCGGATGGACAAGTAGTGGGGAACAGTTGGGGTGCCAACACCACAGCAGACAGTAGCAGGGATAACAGAGTATAAGGGCTCTAGTGTGGGAGGGAGAGCTATGGGAGGGTGCCATCTGGGAAGTGGTTGTATAGATGAATAAGATTGTTTGCGCTGTTCTGTGTGATATACATACACAAAAATCAACAAATTTTAAAAAAAGTTATATTTGAGGAGGAAGCATAAAAATTTACGTCATGTTACGTAGTAGAGGTTATAAACATTACCACTGAAATCTGCCCGATGACCTTATATCCATACACGGGTGCCAAGGATCCGAGTGCAACCAACCATGACTAGTAATAATCAGATACATACAGATTAGAGATGCATGCACCAACATCTAAGTGTTATTAGCAAAAACAATGAGTCTTTCTGTAAGAAACAGTATATTTTAAAGTGAAATGGAGATCTTTTTTAAAGGTTAAAAACTCATTCAATTTTATGTCTTACAGGGCTTATACTGAGTTCAATATTGTATAACTGTATTAATTCAACTGTGAACCTAAAACTTTTATAGCCACTTTTGAAAGAGATGTATCTTTGCTCCAGAAATTGTTATTGAGTATGTTAAAGCTGTAATGAAATGCTGCTTCTAAAAAATAAAAAATAAATAATAAAAAATATTCTGACCAAAAGCAACTTAGAGGAGGAAAGTGTTTATTTGCCTTGTGCTTCCAGGTCACAGGTCATCACTGAGGAAGTCACGGTAGGAAAGCAAGGCAGGAACCTGAAGCAGCACCATGGAGAAGCACCGCTTGCTCACAGGCTTCTGCTTAGCTAGCTTTTTATAAAGCCTAAGACTACCTGCCTAGGGATGTAGTGACTCACAGTGAGCAGCCCCCCGCATCAGTTAATAATCAAGACAGTCCCTCACAGATATGCCCACAGCCCAATCTGATCTAGGGAATTCTTTGATGGAGGCTTTCCTCTCAGATGACAAAGCTAACTAGGTCATGAAAAATTGGGGTACAATAAAAAGTATTTGAATGCACAAAGACAAAAAGTTGATTGAAAAAATGACATGTGTAATGAATTTGAGGTGCTTCTGGAAACTCTTACCTGTGCTGCATCCTGCAACTCCACTGCTGCCTTTCTGAACACAGGTGTGCACTTTGTACTACATATGCTATCACAGCATACAGCGCCAACATAGGCTGCCTGAAACACCTTGGCTCAGATGTGCGACTATTGTCTGTTATGAACTGCAGTGTTTTTTCCTATGCATACAAAGCTTTTGGATCTTATAAAATATAGTGGCTTTATAATGGAAAACAAGGATTTTGAATATTTTTTTCTACTGCCATTCCCCAGCATGTGTCAAATTAGTATATCTTTAGATTGCATTATTTTAGAGTATTTGATTTAAAAAATTGCTATTTCAGTTGCTGACTTGAATTTCATAAGGAATGATTAGATAAATTTTGACTTTGGATTATGACAGAATTTCCAACAGTTCTGAGGTGGCATGAAACATTCTTCTGCCATTTTGTCCTACATAGTTATGTGAAGTGGTTTTCTCAACATCAGCAGTCATGAAATCATAGTGATCAGCTCTGAAAAACACTGGAGATAGTCTATATCCTGTAGAATCAAAGGTCCAGCCAAGATCGAAGTCTTTATGTGAAAATACACAAGCATATCTTATTAGTATGAAAATTTACTTTCATCTCTAATAAATGGTCAAATTTTATGTAAACCAAAATTGCTATAAAATAAAGGTTCTTGATCTGTTATCAGCAAGTGTTTGATTTGTGTACCTATTTTAAGAATAGATTCTGGATCTTGTAGAAATTTCTCAGAGAAGAAGGACATGCTTCAGATGATCTCGAGAGTACCCACAGACGTGGTACAATATAAACAATCTGTACACAGTGTAACAGTATACTTTTTGTGGGATAATGATGGGGGGAAAAAGTCTTTTCAATATAGGTTAAGGTTTTGTTTTGTTTTGAGACAGAATCTTAACACTGTAGCACAGGCTGGGCTAGAACTTACAACGTAGCCTAGGTTGACCCCCCAACCTGTGACAATCCTCCTACCTCAGCCTTCCAAGTAACTGCTGGGATTGTTAGTGTGAACCATCATACCTGACCAAACTCAAGTTTTTAAGGAAGTATTTTGAAACCACAGCTGGTTAGATGCTCAGATGTGGACTCTGCAGATGCAGAGAGCAACAGTCCATCTAGCAGAGGAGGACCTGGGTGAGTGACTTTGTGCAGTTCCAGACATGAGCCCATATAGAATACATTACAAATATACAAGGACCAGTGTGATCAGGTTTTATGAAAATGCAGAGGTTTGGAAAGGTGTTATAAATGGATGAATGAATATTTAAATGACCATACAAAGGTGTGTATACTTAAAAGAGAAAACAGAATGACTCACCATATTATCACACAGAAAACTTCAAATAAGTTTCCAAAGAAGAAAGCAGATTGTGGATTCTCTGACCACAATCAAATAAAGTGTGGCTCAGCTAAAATAAAACGAAAATGTGATCCAGTTCTTGGCCAAATGTAAAGTCCTCACAAAACTCTAACGCCTTGGTGAACAAAGACGGATCAGAGATTTAGCAAAAGAGAAGGGTCGCTCTGTGAACCCTGTATTTTAAAAACTCCCACCAGGGCTGGGAGATTGCTTGACTGGTAAAGTGCTTACCATGCAAGCATGAGGTCCTAGGTTCTGATATACAGCATCCTTGTGAAAAGCCAGGTGTGGGCATGCACCTATAATCTGCTCTGTGGAGGTAGAGAGAAGAGGTCCCTGGGTCTTTCTGGCCATCTACTCTAGCCAAATTGGCAAGCTCCAGGTTCCATGAGGGATCATCTGAAAAAATAAGGCAGAGAAGAAAATGCCCGATGTTGACCTCTGGTCCACACACACACATACACACACACACACACACACACACACACACACACACACCCCACATACACATTCTCATTAGAGCCAAGGCAGACCCTTACAACCCCTCCACTGGGGCTCAATTCCTATCTGTCCAGCTCCCTAATTTGTTCATCTTTCAATTAAGCACTTAAAAGACATATGAGCCGGGGGCATGGTGTTGCACACCTTTAATCCCAGCACTCGGGAGGCAGGAGCAGGCAGATCTCTGTGAGTTCAAGGCCATCCTGGTCTACATAGTGAGTTCCAGGCCAGCTGGGGCTACAGGGGACCCTGTCTCAAAAAAAACCAAAAAAAAAAAAAAAAAAAAAAAAAAAGACATATGAAAGGATATTTTTGACAACACATTTCATATTTTCATGCAAATATATGGTTCCATTCAAATAAGGCTCTTGGTAGTCTAACACTTAACACAACCAGTCACTTCTGTTGCAGAGTGTGAAGGGAAAGTTGTGACTCAAATCCGGCTTTGCATTTTTTTGCTGTTAGGATTAGAAAAGTGTTACTTCTCTGAACCCCATTTGGTTCATCTGTAAGAATGGGATTGTAATTCCTAGGAAAGAGGTCATTCCTCGAAGACCAGGCCATTCCTCGAAGAGAGGTCATTCCTGCAGAAGACCCAGGCCAGTGCTTGGCTCCGGAGAGAATCTGTACGCAGAGCAGGTACAGTTGTAACAATGATCTTTGGATGGAAATATGCTTGAAATTTTATCTGCGAAATAAATTCCACCCTACAAATTGAACTAATAAGGACATGGAGATAAGATGTACTCATTGAAAGCACCAGCTTTTTCTACAGAGATTGGCATGGTGATGAACCCAGGAATACAGTAAAAGTTAGACTTGGGAGATCAGAGAGGCGCTCCCTCTCTCCACTCACACTGTACAGAAAGCCACGGAGCCTCTGGCTCCGGGAAGTCCTCCAGAATTCTCTCCAATCAGGATTTCTGCAGGGATGCTTGGGGTAGCTTCTCCCTAAACACGAGCTGAGTGTGTCTCATGCGTGCGCTCTGCACACTCCCTATGCAAGTCCTGTAATCCTCTGGTCCTAAAGAACACATGATTATGTTACAAATGTCTTGTCCCCTGGCTTCCCATCCTTTCTCTTCCTCTCCTTGCTTGTTGGAAAGAGCCAGTGGAAGACCTCCTCTTTCATGACCAGCAAAAAAGACAGCTCTGTGTTCCCAGACTCAAAGCAATTCACTAATACTGAAGCCCCCTAATGGGGTCACTTGTCCTTCAAAAAATATTCACTTTGTTTACCTTTGCCTGCCATTCCAAATTCTAAAGAAAAGCGACACCTGATTAAGGTCAACCAGTAGGAGAAAGAGAAGAAAAAGCATTGGTAAAAGTCCTCCTAGCCAGTGCCCTTCCTTCCTTTCAGTTCACAGAGTTCAGAACACCTGGTGATCTGCAAATAACAATAGAATGTGTCAAAGAAATGAATCCCTGCAGCTCTAATGATTACTGTAGGCTCCACCCAATCAACTAGCCTTAAGTTTCCTATATAAGCTCTTTTGCAGGCTTGTTTGTTAATCAAAAAGGTCCTTAGGATAACAGTCTGGCCATTTTCCAACCCAGTAGCTCATCATGATAAAGTATTTTTCCTGTCACAGCCTAGCCTCTTGGCTAATTGGCTTTCATCATGTGACAAACACCAAGTTTTGAGTAGTAACAATATCACTGCTTTATCTTCCAGCAATTCCTGTGATTTCTATGCTAAGATTAGATTCATGGTGTTTAAGAAATTTCCCAGAATCAACACAGAGGTAAAGGTACAGGCCTCAAGGTCTGGATATCAACTGGACTCTCCTGGTTAATCCAATGTCTACATTTTAGTCAACAATGACTAGACCACAACAGAGGCCAGACTAGGGTCAAGTCCCCAGCCTTATAAAAGACTCTCATTCACCACGCTGTCCTTCCTCCCATCATTCTTTTTGAGTGCAGTAAGATGCTTGTTTTATCCAGACTTGCTACTTAGGACCCAGACAGAACACTGTTGTCTGTGTGCTTTTCAACAAAAGCTACCAGCAAGCTGTTATCAGGACCCCTTTTCCTAATATTTCCCCATCCCAATAGAGGCCATCCCAGCAGAGGGTAAAGATCAGGCCCAAGGATGAATGGGCATGTCACCAGAAGGGGAGACACAGTTGGCTGTGTCTGGCTTCCCATTCAAGGAATAGAAACAACACAATTGAAGAACACGTCTGAATGTTGCAAGACTGTTCCATTGGCAGAAGTTTTAGACAAATGTTTCTGCACCATTCTCATGGCGTGAGTGGACTCCCTTGCTTGGTTCCTTCAGGCCCCAAGACACCACGGACTTGTTCGGTCGATTTCCTCCTACCATCATTGTCCTTTTGTGACCTTCCCATTCCAACTAAGAAGCACATTGATATTTCATGCCGTCAAACCCCTTTTATAAAAGCGAAGCACAACTAACGCTGTGCAGAAAATGACAGAACTTGATAACTCTCTTTTCTTCCAACTTCTGCCTTCTAGGTCCCTTTCCACCTCTCTGCCATGTGGTCGTCACCATCTCTGCAGCAACAGGTTCAAAATACCAGATGAGGTCAAAGACAAAGTTGCTGGGAGAAGCAAAGGCTGATGAATTCTTAGCAGAAAGCTCTACAACACCCCTTTGTGTTTTCAGGGTTGGGGTCATGAGGGTCAACTCACACGTATGTGACTCAAATCTTTTCCTCTAGGTAAGTCTCCTGAAAGGAGGACATGGTAACATTTAAGTGGCTGAAGGCCAACTCTTCTCTGGAGAAAAGTACAGTCAAAAGTCACTTAACAACAGGGATAAGTTCTGAGAAATGTGTCACTGATTGCAACTTTGTGCAAACATATCAACCAAGCTGGCTGACAGGTCACTAAGCTATATGATGTTTTGGGACCATCTTCACATATGCAGTCCAACATTTCACTGTAATGTCCTTATGCAGTGTATGACTATACTGCTACCCCATGTGTAATTCCAGGCCCCCTGAACTTTCCATTCATGGTGCCCCTGCACTGACCATGATGAGCTTCACAGAGCAGGAAGAGCCCATCTTTGCCCTTACCCAGTGAGGGGACATCAGCTTTGGATGTCTGCAGCACTTGGTACCCAGCCTCCACCACCCAGTATATTACCCAGGGGATCACTGTAGTCATGCCATGCATCTTGCTCATCCCTGCCATCTTGAGTTTCTTCTAATGCCGCTGCTGTTTAGTGAAGACTATCACCAGTGTGCAAATGAGTGCCCCATAGTCCTCTGCCCCACAGCCCTGCTTGGCTGTGGTCCTTACATCTTCCACAGAATCACACTCTCAACTCCTGCATTATCTTCACTAGAATGTCTCATTTATGCACCAAACTCTGTCACTCACCTGGGGAAATGTGAACACAAGTGCAGAGGGGAATAGATAATATCTTACACCCTGTGGCTTCGTCAAATCTTAATATTTTTCCATATTTGTCCCAGAGCTTTAAAAATAATATATAAAACATTACCAACATACTGAAGGTCTCTTTGATCTCATTCCCCATCTCTCCCCAGGTGTGCTATGTCCTTGAATTTACTGTGTATGAATCTCAAACACAGTTTTATAGATTGTCCTAAGGTTCATCCATAAATAGTACATATCATCACTTTATGATTTTTAAATTTTATAGAAATCTATTCTGCTGTGTGGGTTTTGTTGCTTTTGGATTTATTCATCTGTATACACATTGCTCTAACTCCTATAATTTAGCTGCTATATAATATTCTGTTGAGAGTTGTCATGACTAATTTATCTATTTCATGTTGATGTTTTGGTTTAAATATCCTTTCATTCTTGCTGCTACCAAAAATGGTGCAATGAAGATCTGTGCACGTGTGAGTGTTTGTTTCTCCAGTCTGGAGCTCTACTCTTGAAAGGGAAGGCTTCAGTCCACACTTCCATCAGCATCGATGAGTTTCTAGTGCTTGTTATTCATGCCAACACTTGGTATTGGTAGACAAATGTTTTGGCCAATCATGTAGACGTTTTATGGTTAATTTTATGGATCAACTAGTCTGAGATATTTCTGGGTAAGATTTCTATTTAAATTGGTGAAAGCTTAACTAGAATAAAAGCGTAGGCTCCTCAAGCAAGAAGAACTCCTCCAGCAAGATGCTTTCTGAAGTTTATGTGCAAGGCTAGCTTTTCAGTTCTCCCTTAGTCTCCGTCCTGTTGTGCTTCCTGTTTGAACTGCAGCACTGCATTCTTCCCTGCAGCCTGTTGACCTCCCTTAAGAAGTCTAGACTTGTCAGCTTCCATAATCACAGAAATCAACTATGTATGTGTACATCCAATTGCCCTGGTTTCTCTGGAGAACCCTGATGAGTGCAGATGTTATCTTATTCTGTTTTTTGTTGCTATAACAAAGTACAAGAGACAGGGTAATTTAGGAAGACTGGAAATTGGAAGTTGGGGTGTCTTGAGCATGGTGTTGGCATTTGGTGAGGGCCTCGTTCTGCATCATAACATGGGGAAGGCACCATGTGGCAAAACAGAACAAGTCATGCTGGCTGAGGTTTCTCTTCCTTTTGTATAAAGCCCCTGATGTCATCATGAGTACCATCTAATCCTGATCACCTCTGAAAGTCTTCTTCTCCAAACGCTCCTAACATATGAACTCAAGAATTAAGTGTTCAACTTGTGAACTTTGGAGAACGCATTGGCACCCAGCAGAACTTCCGTCTCTCTGAGTGAGTGTGTGTATATATATATATATATATATGTTTGTATATATATTCCTGGCTACTAAGCGGCTGCCCATTGGGTTAAAGGCTCCTTTGTTATTTCTTGCCTGTTCTCCATGTCCTTTGTTAATTTTTTTTCTCACTAAGTCACTTTTTTTCTCACTGATTTACAGGTGTTCTTAGATCCTGGATTCTGACCTTCTG